CCTTACTTAATGGAAACATTTTCGTGTATCCAGGAAATGCAGACAACACATTGACTGACTGCTTTTTGTGTAGATGCGTACTTTAATAACCATGGCTCCTTTTGGTGTCAATGGAGTATGAGCTGTTAAGAATTTCTAAATACTAACTGGTTAGTTATTTTTGTCATCTCAGAAGGAAGGTTGGGCAATCTATGTCCATAGTGATCCTGCCTCGGAAACCCAAGGAGGGGCTGCTATGAGTCAGATCTGACTTGATGGCACTGTGTTTGGGTTTTTTTTTTTTATATATATATATGCATATATATATATATGCAGATGAACTGCAAGAATATACTTTTGTATTGTTAGTCCAAAATAAGGTAGGTGGTCATAGACCATAACAAAGGATTTTATTTCTTCTAAAGGTGTTTTGTGTCAGGCAGGCGGGAAAACATATTTAGCTTCGATTTTTAGGTAGGTAACAGACAGCAATGAGACAAATACAAGACCCTTGAGGATTCACCTCTGTCCACCTTTCTAAACTTATTTCTTAACACTCCCAAGCAGTACAAGCTTTGTGCATACAGCCCTTGAAATATCAGCACACTTTTACAGGTTTCTTCCTAAATTTTAACTATTTCCCTCTTTCTCAAATTACGGCTTTTTTTTTTTATTAAAGTTAGTTTAAGCGTTGTTCTTCTGGAAGTTAAGTTCACATGTCTGGACTGTCATTCTTCTAGTCATTCTAGTTTTCTACTAGAACCCTGGGCTTCCCACAATAAATGCTATCACACTGCACTTCATATAAATGACTTCATCTCTTACCCACTACACTATGAACTACTAAAGGGAGGAAATTATGTACTTGTACTTATCTTTCTATCTTTGACGATATTACACACACTCTATAAATGCTTCTTAAAAGAACAGTGAACATTGTACAGTCTACCACTGACTGTTGTTTTTGTTGTTGTTATTTGCCGTCGAGTCAGGCCCGACTCATAGCGACCCCTCCTTGGGTTTCCAAGGCAGTATCACTACGGAAGTAGGATTGCCCAACCTTCCTTTCGAGGAGTGGCTGGTGGGTTTGAACCACTGACTAGGGCTGTCTATTTAAAAAACTAGAGATCTGTCCATTTCTGAATTTAGAAATTTGAGGAAGTTATTTCATTCAAACCCCTATTTTGTCCTAACATAGAAAAAGATAGATATGCATATTACTGAAATGAAGAATCTATTACAAATTACTTATTATGGTTATCCTTAGGAGGACAGGATTACTTGAGTTTGCACATGTAAGGGTTTTGAAGAGAGACTGGCAGAGTAGCAAAAGGCATTAACAAGACATTGCACTTGAACCTCAATTTTTTTTTAAGCCAGAGGGAAATCGATAGATTATGTATCTTCTGGAAGTTCTGGTAGCATAGTGCCTAAGGCATTTGACTGCTAACCAGAAGGCTGGTGGTTCAAACCCATTAGCCACTCCTCAGAAGGAAGACTAGGCAATCAATTTCTGTAGAGATACTGCCTTGGAAACCCAAGAAGGGGTAGCTATGAGTCGGGACCTACTCGACGGCAGTGAGTTTGGATTGGTTTTGGATTCTGAAAGAATGTCTGAAGACAGACACACCTGTGGCCCATTAGGAACTAAATATCAGCACAAAATAATTCGAGGATAGATGGAATTAGCCCAAAAGGAGCTGAGGTAGAGCAATTGATTTCAGTGCTTACCAAACCATACCTGCACTTACTCCTGCATGAATAGGATTATGTGACCGAGGCCGTCCATCTGGGCCTAAGTGGATCTTTAATCCTCTTCACCATGTCACCACTCTGCCAAGACTACAGCAGGAATGTCTGAATATTCTGTGCGGTTAAAACTACCTATGCGGTCCTTGGGACTACAGAACAGGATTCAGGGGTAACTCTGTGAAATACATTAAAGAAAATGCTAATTGCTTTACTTCAGAAGACCTTGTGTCTGTCTTTCTCCTCTCAGAGTTTGTGTTTCAAAAGGTCAGAACAGCTGGGGTTAGAAACAAGCTACTTCCTATTCTGCTCACCATCAACACAAATTTTCCACATAAGTTTTTTCATCCTCTACTTTCTACCTACCTCCTCAAAATGCCATGTTAATGACTTAGAATTATCTGGAATATCCTTCCCTTTTTCATATTAGATTTGCATTAGCATATAAAAATATTAGTTGACAAAAACTTTTAGAAAGTCTCCTTGGCAGCAAAAGTTGGATACCAGATGGCCACCCAGAAACTAGACCCAGAAAAGTGATTTACTCTGCCTGTATATGCCGACAAAGAGAGTCCTATTTTTGGGACACCTTGAAAATCCTTGACCTAATGATAAGCCCAACAGCCATTTCAGAGTAGAAACAATTATCATAACCTGATTTCTGTCTCAAGCAAAATAAACCACTTTTAACCAGCCATATGAAACACGACACAATGCACTGCCGTTGAGTCAGATCCAACTCATAGTGACCCCTCCTTGGGTTTCTGAGGTGGTATCACTATGGAAGCGGATTGCCCAACCTTCCTTCTGGGGAGTGGCTGGTGGGTTTGAACTGCCAGCTCTCTGGTTAGCATTCACATGCCTTAGGCACTATGCCACCAAAGCTTCTGACATATGTATATATATTTATGTATATATGCTTTGGTAGCACAGTGCCTAAGGTATCTGACTACTAACCAGAAGGTTGGTCGTTCAAACCTGCCAGCCGCTCCGCAGAAGAAAGACAGGGCAATCTACTTCTGTAAAGATTTGCCAAAGAGGGTCGGTCACTATGAATCAGAATCGACTCAATGGCAGTGAATTTGGAGTGGTTTTATATGTGTGTGTGTGTGTGTGTGTATGTATAGACATGTCAAAAACATAAAATAAACCAATACCTTACAGCCCACAACAGCTCTATCTTAAAAGTAAGAAAAAAAAGAAAAAAAAAAAAATTGGTGGCTTGTACTTTCACACTTTGTTTTTATAGAAAGGGCTACTAGCAGACTCATTAATCTCAAGTAATGTTTTTGTCTTTTAAAAACGAAGTTTCTTTTAATTTTTCTTGAGGAAATTAATAGCTGAGAACAGTATCTATTTAGTAGTATCTATAAGGTGCCTCAGAGGAAAGGCCTGGCAACCTACTTCCAAAACACCAGCCAATGAAAACCCCACGGAGCACAGTTCTACTCTGATGCATTATGGGGCTGCCACAAGCACAAATCGACTTGATGGCAACTGGTATACAATAGGAAAAAATTTAGCTTATATATAAACTTCTCTTACATAAAATGAAACCTAAAGTTAAAGAAAAACACAAAAAACAAAAACAAAATAACCTCCAAAACTTGGATAATTTGAGTTCCCTTGACCTCGTAGGAGCCCTGGAGGTATAGTTTTTAAAGCACTTGGTTGTTAATCAGAAGGCTGGCAACTGAAACCCACCAGCCACAGGAGAAAGATGTGGTAGTCTGCTCCCATGAAGATTGCAGCCTTGGAAATCGTATGGGGCAGTTCTACTCTGCCATCCATGTATGGTTGCTATAAGTCAGAATCCACTTTACAACAGCGGGTTTGGTTTTGGTTTATGAGTACTAAAAATTCTATGACCATCAAAAATTTCCATTCCTTTAGGGTATATTATGTATATTTAAGACAAAAGATAAATGGGACTGAATTTCAAATATTCAATGCCAAATGGAGGTCAAAATACTAAAGTTTTTACATTTCTATCAACATTTGAACATGAATAGTGAACACATTAGCTTATAATACACCACCTACATAAATATAAGAAAGATCACATTTCTTTATGCATAAAATTCTGGTCTTGAAATTTTAACTGAATTTCAGCTGAACCTTAAGAAATGTTAACCTTTAACTTATTTGACTTTTTAAAATTGTGTACATTCTATTTCCAATATTCCTCTTGCCTATACTAAAAATTACTGAGGGTCTTCCTTCATTATCAAAGTTCAAAGTCATTTATGCCAAAGTATATGGATAAGTATATTTGAAAACTATTTATCATCAACTATTTATAAGTACAGAACCAAATGACCATGAAATTCCAGTTCAAATTGACAGACAAAATGTAAACTAATTTAAAGTGCTTCATTTAAAAAATAAAACAAACATACAGTTTGCATTTTGGGTCAATTAAAATAATAGTTTCATTTCCAAAGACTTGAAAATAAAAAGAATGAAAAAACATATAGGATCATTATTCTATAATTACTGTATTTTGTTCTTTTCATTCTAAGAATGGAGTCTTTTTCAGAGACAGATTAGCTAGTTGGTAAAATTTATAATTTATACTTAAGGTATTTATCTATATTTGACCAGAGGCTAGTACACCAGTCAGCTAGTCTAAACTTACGTTAAATATGAACATTTTCCAATACTCCTAAGTCACATCTCATTCACCTCTCTCCTTAAGAACTGCATAGTCTTACTGTAAATAGCTAAAACCTGTAATAAACTAGAGTTTGCTAAGAGTAGAGGTACTCTGGTTAACATGCATTCAAAATGGTGGGGACAGTGGAAAAGCAAGCATTATTAAATATGAAGGCAATCCTTACCAACATACATTGAATCATTTTTTTCCAATAAAAAAGCTAGTCCAAGAAAGGTCTCAATCTATAAAGGTTTATCATTTCCAAATCACAGTAAAAGGAACTTGAGTAATTTACCAATTTTGTTTCCTACTATACGCCTTAGAAACATCTCACAAAAAATGGTATCTGACACAACAGAAAGACACTTGCAGACTGTAATATTGTAGTGACAGTACTGAGGTTGATTGTTACAGACATTTTAAACTCTTTGAGTATTAAATGGTTACGTCTTAATTATACATATAGAACACTGGTCCAATAACATAAAAATGGCTGGAAATATATCTCACTCAATGTTCAGAGATAAAAGCGTTAACCATTCTTTCCATTATTTTTTGCAGGTAAGTCCTTTTCATATTGACATCTGATGGCAATTATATTCTGGCATTTTTCAAGTTACTGTGTGAACAGGATGCTGAAGGCCATCACTATACAGCATACTGCAACATAAGGACTCTTTCGTTCACCTGTTGGAAAAAGGGAGATATTCACCTTTATTAAATGAGTGGTTAAAGTGGATAAAAGGTATTACTTACTATGGAAGAGAGGTACACTAAGAATCAAGATAAAGTTCTAGTGCCTAAGGCACTTGACTGCTAACCAGAAGGCTGGCGGTTCAAGCCTGCCAGCCACTCCTTGGAAGGAAGGTTGGGCAATCTACTTCTGTAGTGATACCGCCTTGGAAACCGAAGGAGGGGTCGCTAAGATTAAGGTCCAACTCGACGGCACATAACAACAATAATAAACAACAACAAGAGGGCCATATATTTGGGGGACTTGGGGGAAGAAAGAAAGAAAAGACTAGATATAACATAAAAACAAGTAAAATAGAGAATGAGCTAATTTATACTGATTTATTCTAAGACCATATCTGTTTCATTTGCTTAGAAAACCCTTGAAGGGCCATTCCTATGCCACTGTGTAATGTCAGATATTAAAACAAACAAACAAACAGCAACAACAAAACAAGACTGTAACAAAGACAGAGATCCAAGAGAAACAATCTTAATTCAATTAAGGCCAAAGCATATTGCTGATAGTCCTTATGTGAAAAAAGTACACTTTCACCTGTAAAAGAAACATCCACTTTATAGCCATATTTTTTTCCTCATTGATTCTTGACACTTAACCAGAGAAAAAACCCAAAACACTCAGATGAAAATAAACAGAAGAACGTTAGTAACACGGCATTTTCAAAATGGATGCAAGTATACTGCTTACTAAAAACCTAATAGGAAACACAATTTTTTACATAGAATTCTTATAAAGCTATTTATTATGTGGTTACTCTAGGTTAGAAATGCAAACTTAAACCAACCAACTTGGTATGAGTCAATTTTCACAAGTTTAAGGAATGTTTACACTCCTAGACTATCTTTTGCATGAATTAGACCTGAAACTTGCTTGTGAAACTGTCACATAAACAGAGATCCTGTGATTCTAAGTTAACTTATTCTTTTCTGTTTCATCAGTAATTGCAAGCCTATAGTAATCCTTAAAGCATCAGGGCATTTGACTGCTAACCAGAAGACTGGCGGTTCAAATCCACCAGCCACTCCTCAGAAGGAAAATGGGGCTATCTATTTCCCTAAAGAAGAGCTCTGGTAGCATAGTACCTAAGGCACTTGACTGCTAACCAGAAGGCTGGAGGTTCAAACCCACCAGCCACTCCTCGGAAGGAAGGTTGGGCAATCTACTTCCGTAGTGATGCTGCCTTGGTAACCCAAGGAGGGGTCGCTATGAGTCGGGGCCAACTTGACGGCACATAACAACAACAACTTCCCTAAAGATTTACTGCCTCGGAAACCCAATGGGAGTTCCTATGAGTTGGAATCGACTTGATGGCAGGTTTTTTTTTTCACTTTTGTGGGTAGCATAGGAAGGAAAGTGGGAGGAGGAGTAAACAGTGATTTGCTATTTCTAGAAATAATCTGGTGTTCTCTTGTGGAGTTGGTTTATAATACCCCCACTTGTATTGTTCTACATCTAAAATCATCTATTTCCAAGTTCCTAAATTCCTTTCTCTACCTAGCAAGTGCCATTAATTGATTCTGAAAAACTTCAATCTTGACCACCCTTCTCAACCCAAATTTTCATGGTCATACTCATAGTGCCTAAGGCACTTGACTGCTAACCAGAAGGCTGGCGGTTCAAACCCACCAGCCACTCCTCGGAAGGAAGGTTGGGCAATCCTACTTCCGTAGTGATACTGCCTCGGAAACCCAAGGAGGGGTCGCTATGAGTCGGGGCGACTCGACGGCACGTAACAACAACAACAACAACTCATTTTCAGCACTTCCTCCGCAAGTGCATACTGCTGTATTATTTGTAAATTTTTACCTTGTTCTACTCAATGATGATATTCATAGAACTCACTCTCACACACATAGCACACAGAAATAATTTTTCTCAGGAAGTATTTTTTCTATCCATAGACATTTAGTAGACTGCCTTCCAGATAAGGAAGAATCTAGAAAGTGCCAAGACTGCTGTTGTGTGCCATCAAGTTAATTCTGATTCATAACAACCCTATACAGCAGAGTAGAACTGTCTGACAAGGTTTTCTAGGCTGCAATTTTCATGGGAGTAGACTGGCAAAACCCATGGAGCTGCTGGGTAGTTTGACCCACCAATCTTTCAGCAAACTGTTGAGTATTTAACCGTTTTATTACTGAAGTTCTTAAGTGAGGAAATATTCGTGTTTTTTCAGTTTCACCATCTCAACTTAAAAAAAAAAAAAAAGTCTTTTAAAACTATAAAGTACCTTAGTCATAATTTCTAAGCAATGCTGTTTCTATTGGACTTTAAATACATAAATCAAAACACAAAATGAAACAAAACCCACACCATTCTTACATTATCTTTCAGATTCATTTCATAAGCAAGCTTGTCACTCTTATTAGGGGTAGTTATACTTCTTTATCTAATAGATAGTTTCATTAAACATCTTACAGAAGAAATCAATATTGTCCCAAAATTTTCCATCTGCTGGAAATTAATTTTTGAGGAAGTCCTTCTCTTCCTCATTCTCTAACTCAGAAGTTATAATTTACAGATGGGTTTCATTTTCCTGTTCTTAATTTTCTTAAAAGAGATTGCCATGTGGTAGAGCTAAACATGTTTGGTTGAACCTGGTAAGAATGTTACTCCTTCTCTGGTCTTAGGTCTGTGTAAGTGAATGTGAAACAGTTGCTGTAATGTGATGTGTAACACAAGATGAATTAGACTGGGCCTTTCTCCATTAAAATTATATCCTTTGTGGATATATTCTGCATCAGGATAAGAGAGGAGTATGTGGTTGAGAAAACAGCATATAATAAGCATTCATTATTTTTCTAAGTCACTCTCATAAAATGAAAAGCTAATGCTTTCACATAATGGGCAATACATTTAACTACATTATTCAACTTGTGGCATTCATACAATAGAGAAAGAAACAGACCACATGAAAAATAAAAAAAAAAAAAAAGCACTGTTTTGAATTAGATATAAAAATAGATCATACTATAGAATATCATTAAGAAAGGTACAAACTAGGTATTTAAAAATTTTAGATATACTCTCTTCAAGTATTAATTGTGAGACAAAACGTTACCTCGGTTGACTTTTGAAATGACAGAAATACAGAATACAATTCTCTGATTTAATACATAAAATGGATAATATCTTAATTTTCAACTTTGATTATTTAGCATTACTGTACAATGATATTCTCTCTAGTCATGCACGCTATCTGGCTCTTCCATCATGCTCTCTTCTTGCAGTTCACTTTTGGTCTTCTTACTACTCTTTTCCTTGTCAATATTTTCTTTCTTTGCTGGGGTGGTGGTTCTGAAGCAGTTTGGTTTACATATATTTACATTTATCAGTAGCTATTAGCATTAACCACAATGGGTGATATTTTTCTCTCTGTATTCCTCTCTTTTTTCTTGGTTCATTTGGGGGTACTTAAGATTTCTTTTGTTGTTTCAGGATTTGCAGCTGTTGTATAAGAGCTTCACCACAATGCTCTGTAAATCTAGGCCAGGGTTTCCCAATTCCCGCAGTGTTGACATTTGTTGCCAGGAACTAGACTGCACACTGGGGACCTGTCCTATGCACTAGAAGATGTTCAGCACCATTCCCGCTCCTACCCACTACATACTATCCTCCACACCCCTAGTACTAACAACTAAAAATGTCTTATGACACTGTCAAATGTCCCCTGATTGATAATCACTTATATGAGCTCTATCTGTGCCCTTACTAATAAAAGGTCAATAATACTTTTTAGAAATCAAAGATTCTCATGGTAAACCTAAAGAGAGAATAAAGAACAGAAAGACTACCAAGGACAGTTTAACATGTTAAAAGAACACTGAATTCTCTGGACTCCAATGTATGTTTCAAAAATCACTACATTAAAATTTGAGGGCTATGAAAGGTGTTACTTTTCTTTGAAGCCCTTTAAATTTATACTATAATTTTCTGTACCAAGAAACTTAAAAGGTCAAAGAACCTTATGATCTTAGCATCAAAGATCAAGAAGGGATTTCTGGATAACTCAGTATTTTGCTTACTTCTTCTACTGTTTGTGGATGTCTCACTTATCATTAAAGATTCAACAGAAAAAAAATTTGCTCTCAAAATGATTTCAATGTCTAATGACATACTAATCTTATATTTTTAAGATTTGAAACTCCTGCAATCAATTTTGAATCCTTAGCAGAGACTAGTTATTCATCCTCTATAATAAATATTTTCAGATATAATAAATCAATCCCAACATTAAAGAACTTAGTGTGTAATTTTTAATTTCTAGTCAATTTCATTTCCTGTTATGGATCCTCTTATAAATTTTCCATATCTCTGAGATGCTGAAGCCAAAGTAAAACAATAATCTAAAAAGAACACATCTTATTTAAAGAGAGATGTTTTTTACATTCCCATCTTAAGGGATAGTTTTGGAGGTTGAGGCTGTTGTCAGAATGGTTAACTATATTAAATGTTACAAGCAGGAAAATTCCTATGCTATGAAATTCTAACAGTTTTTTGAAAGAGAAAAATAGGTATACATAAATTCAATGTTAGATGAAGAATATGGAAATCAAACATTTGTTTATGTCACACAAATAATTCCATAGGACAAGAAATATTTGTTTTCAGTTGAGGTGGTATAGTACAAGTGTCTTGACGCTGTTTTTCTTTGGAGTTAGGCATGTTAAAAATGGCATAATTTGTCGTATTCTAGATATCCTAAGTACACTTAAGATGTTATTCATCTTATTATGAAAAGTTAAAAGATAATTATATTTATCTTAACTTCAATTATTACAAAGATCACCTATGACCACACGGGGTTAAGCAACCAATTAATGTTTTCTAAGAGCAACAAATAACATTCCATGACTTAATCAAATGATTATGTTTAGATGGTTGCTTAGAAAGCCTTTCAGTACATGGGAAATTCAAGCTCAATTATCAAAATGGTACATATTACACATAACAACACGCTCTGTATTACGAGCATGCATGCATAAAACTTTATACATTTGCGTGAAATCCTCTCAAAAACTAAGAGTGCACAGTACTTGATATCTGAATAAGAGATATTTTTCTTATATTTTCCATCTCCTTGGTAAGGATAAGGCGCTCTGGTGGTGTAGTGCCTAAGGAATTTGACTGTTAACCAGAAGGTTGATGGTTCACATCCACCAGCCACTTATTAGGGAAGGAAGATTGAGCAAGCTACTTGTGTAAAGACTCATCACCTCAGAAGCCCAAATGGGGTCGGTATGAGTCGGAACTGACGCGATGGGAGTGAGTTTGGTTTTTTTGGTTTTGATTGCTAATGATACATGATAATGTATCTAGCAAATCCAGTTTTAAACAACGTAAGGAAAAGAGCCAGGTAGAAATGTGTAAACTTTGGGAAAAAAACTTAAATTAAGAAACCTGCACTTTTAAAATTGATATTTAATTTGTGTGAATATGATATAAGTAAGTTGGTCAACAACTTACAGTTGAAGAAATGTAGGGAAACTATAGACACTTACCAATTCTGGCGCATTTCCAAAATATACCCAACAGCCTGCATAGAAAAAAGAAAACGTACCTATTGATTATTGAGAAAGATAAATAACTCACTCAATATCATATTTTCCATAATAGTGTGGAGAGTTGATTATATACTGTAGTTTGACCTCTGACACTTTCTTTCAGATCTAAAATTTGCTTATTTGATGTCAAGCCACCATTTATGTATAAAAGGAGGACAAAATAGCATACCAACCAGCAATGTATAGAAACTTCTATAAACAGGAATAAATGTGGTACATAATAGGTCATATTCAGGGTTAATCAATGTGAGAATAGCAAAATTTGCAAAAGGGATTAATTCAGTCAATTTCAAGTACTTTACCTTCAAAAGCAAAAAACAATTAATCAAATTATATAAATATCAATTATAAGAAAAGACAAAAAGTTTTGGATGAAGTTTGACATTAAAATAATGTTGTTGTTGTTTGTGTTAGGTCCCGCTGAGTCATCTCTGACTCATAAAGACCCTATGGCAGCAAAATGAAACACTGCCCGGACCCACGCCAGCTCCATGATTCCAGCTGTACTTGAGCCCATCATTGCAGCCACTGTGTCAATCCATCTCATTGAGGGCCTCCCCCTCTTTCATCAATGCCACAACTTACCAAACATGATATACATCTCTAGAGAGTGGTTCCTTCTTACAACATGACCAAAGTAGGTGTGACAAAGTCTGGCCATTCTCACTTCCAAGAAGCATTCTGGCTGTACTTCCTCCTTGACAGATGTGTTAGTTCTTTTAGCAGTCCATGGTACTTTTAGCATTCTTTGCCAGCACCACAACTCAAAAGCATGAACTCTTCTTTGGTCTTCCTTATTCATTGTCCAGCTCTCACATACATACGAGGTGACTGAAAATACCATGACTTGTGTCAGGCGCACACTAGTCCTCAAGGAGACATCCTTGCTCTTCTGCACTCAAAAGAGGTCTTTTGCAGATCTGCCCAGTGCCAAATGTCGTCTGATATCCTGACTGCTGCTTCCATTGGTGTTGATTGTAGAACCAACTAATACGAAGTCTTTGACATCATCAATCTTTTCTCCATTTATCGTGATGCTGTTTATAGGTCTAGTTGTAAGGACATTTTTTTTTTAACATTCTTTATATTGAGGTGTAATGCACACCCCCCCAAGATGCAGGAAAGTGAGGGAAAGAAAGGCCAGAGGGGATGACAGAGCGAGCAGCAGCAGGGATCCAGATAAGGGGAGGATGAGGAGGTTTCGAACAGCTAAGGGAGACAAACTTGTCTGTCAGTTTGTTGTACTGTGGTGGCTTGCATGTTGCTGTGAGGTCTGAGGATGTGCCATCGGTGTTTTAAAAGCCGGCAGGGCTGCACACGGTACACAGGATTCAACATACTTTATAGCCTGAGATAGACTAGGAAGAAGGAAGAAGCCATTCACTTCTCAAAGAATTGGCCAGGGAAATCTTATGAACAGTAGAGAAACACTGTCTGATCCATTATTGTGCAACTTTATGAATAGCCTAGAAACATTCACTGTCCAGTAAAGTGCAGGAGGATGAGCCCCTTAGGTCAGAGGACTCTCAAAATATGACTGGGAAAGAGCTGCATCATCTGAGTAAAACCAGCCTTACTGATATGGATAAACTAAAGCTTTGGAGACCTCTGCTGATGTGGCACAACTCAAATTGAGGAGAAACAGCTGCAAACATCCATTAATAATCAGAACATGGAATGAACAAAGTATGAATTGAGGAAAATTGAAAGCTGTCAGAAAGTATGAATCTAGGAAAATTGAAAGTTGTCAGAAATGAAGTGGAACACATATAGATTGATATCCTAGGCATTAGTATGTTGAAATGGACCAGTTTTGGCCATTTTGAATCAGATAACCATATGATCTACTATGCCAGGAATGGTAATTTGAAGAGGAATGGTGTGGCATTCATCATCACAAAGGAGGTTTCAAGATCTGTCTGAAGTACAATGCTGTCAATGATAGGATGATATCCATACACCTACAAGGACAACCAGTTAATATGACTCTTACTCAGATTTATATACCAGTCACCAAAGCCAAAGATTTTTTTATCAACTTCTACAGTGTGAAATTGACTGAACGTGCAATCAAGATGTGTTAATTATCACTGGTGACTGGAATGCAAAAGTTGGAAACAAAGAAGAATCACCAGTGGTTGGAAAATTTGGCCTTGTGACAGAAATACATGGGGGTCGCATGATAGAATTTTGCAAGACCAATGACTTATTCATTGCAAATACCTTTTTTCAACAACACAAATGCCTGCTATACATGTGGATTTTGCCAGATGGAGTACACAGGAATCAAACTGACTGCATCTGTGGCAAGAGGTGATAGAAAAGCTCAGTATCTTCAGCCAAAACAAGGCCAGGAGCTGATTGTGGAACAGACCATCCACTGCTCATATGCAAGTTCAATTTGAAGTTGAAGACAATTAAAACAAGTCCATGAAAGTCAAATTATGACCTTGACTATATCCCTCCTGAATTTAGAGACCACCTAAAGAATAGGTTTGATGCACTGAACACCAATGACTGAAAACCAGAAGAATTGTGGGATGACATCAAGAGCATTATCCATGAAGAAAGCAAGAGGCCATTAAACAAATGAGAAATGAAGAAAAGACCAAAATGGATGTCAGAAAAGACTCTGAAACTTGCCCTTGAGCAGAGAGTAGCTAAAACAAATGGAAGAATGACAAGAAGAAAGAGCTGAACAGAAGATTCCAAAGAGCAGCTCAAGCAGACAAAGCCAATTACTATAATGAAATGTGTAAAGACCCAGAGTTAGAAAACCAAAAGGGAAGAACACGCTTGGCATTTCTCAAGACGAAAAAACTGAAAAAAAAAAAAAAAAAAAAAAAAAATTAAGCCTTGAGTTGCCATACTGAAAGATTCTATGGGCAAAATATTGAATGATGCAGGAAGCATCAAAAGATGGAAGGAATACACAGAGTCACTGTACCAAAAAGAACTGGTTGATCTTCATCCATTTCAGGAGGTCACAAATGATAAAGAACCATTTGTACTGAAGATAAAAGTCAATGCTGCACTGAAAGAACTGGAGAAGAACAGGGCTCCAGGAAGTGATGGAATACTCAATGAGATGTTTCAACAAATGGATGCCCCACTGGAGGCACTCACTTGGTTATGCCAAGATATTTGAAGACAGCTACCTGGCCAACTGACTGGAAGAGATCCATATTTGTACCCATTCCAAAGAAAGGTGATCCTACAGAATGTGGAAATTATTGAACAATATCATTAATATTGCATGCAAGTAAAATCTTACTGAAGATAATTCAAAAATGGTTGCAGCAGTCTATTGACAGAGAACTCCCAGAGGTGCAAGCTGGATTCAGAAGAGGATGTGGAACAAGGGATATCATTGCTGATGTCATATGGATCTTGGCTGAAAGGAAAGACCACCAGAAAGATGTTTACTTTTGTTTTGACTACACAAAAGCATTTGATTGTGTGGATCATAACAAACTATGGAAAACATTGAGAAGAAAGGGAATTCCAGAGCACTTAATTGTACTCATGAGGAACCTGTACATAGAGCAGGTGGCTGTAGTTTGAATAGAACAAGGGGACATTGCATGGTTTAAAATCAAGAAGGGAGTGCATCAGGGTTGTATCCTTTCATCATACTTATTCAATTTATATGCTGAGCAAATAATTTTAGAAGCTAGACTATATGAAGAAGAATGTGGCATCAGGATAGAAGGATCCCACAATCAGCGATGTGCTGATGACAAAACTTTCCTTGCTGAAAGTGAGGATGACTTGAAGCACATACTGATGAAGAATGAGGAATACACTCTGTAGTATGGATTACATCTCAATATAAAGGAAAAAAAAAAATCCTCACAACTGGACCTATAAGCACCATCACAATAAATGGAGAAAAGATTGACATTGTCAAAGACTTCACATTGCTTAATTGTACAATCAATGCCAATGGAAACAGCAGTCAGGACATCAAGTATGTATGTATAGCACTGAGCAAGGTGGCTACAAAGGACCTCTTTCAAGTGTTCGGGAGCAAAGATGTCTCCTTGAGGACTAAGGTGTTCCTGACACAAGCCATGGTCTTTTCAATAACCTCATATGCATGTGAAAGCTGAACAATAAATAAGGAAGACTGAAGAAGAATTGATGCTTTTGAGCTGTGGTGCTGGCAAAGAATGCTGAAAGTGCCATGGCTGCTAAAAGAACTAACAAATCTGTCCTGGAGGAAGTGCAGCCAGAATGCTTCTTGGAAGTGAGAATGGGCAGACTTCATCTCACCTACTTTGATCATGCTGTCAGAAGGGACCATTCCCTGGAGAAGGATGTCATGCTTGGTAAGGTGGAGGGTCAATGAAAGAGGGGAAGGCTGTCAACGAGATGGATTGACACAGTGGCTGCAGCAATGGGCTCAAGTATAGCAAGGATCGTGAAGCTGGCGCAGGACTGGGTAGTGTTTTGTTCTGCTGTGCATAGGGTCACTATGAGTCAGAGATGATTCGATGCACCTAACACCAACAATAACAACAATTCATACTGTAGACTGTAGTCTTCAATGTTCATCAATATGCTTCAAGTCATCCTCACTTTCAGCAAGCAAAGTTGTATCATCAGTGTATCTCAGGTTGTTAATGATTCTTCCTCCAACCCTGATCCCATGTTCCTCTTCATATAGTCAAGCTTCTTGGATTATTTGGTCAGTATACAGATTGAATAAGTATGGTGAAAAGATACAACCCTGACACACTCCCTTCTTTATTTTAAACCATGCAGTATCCCCTTGTTGTATTCGAACAACAGCCTCCTGATCTATGTACATGGTCCTATGAGAACAATTAAGTGTTCTGGAATTTCCATTCTTCTCAATATTACCCATAATTTGTTATGATCCACACAACAAAATGCTTTTGCAGTAAACACAAGTAAACATCTTTCTGGTATTCTTTGTCAGCAATGATAGCCCTTGTTCTACATCCCC